GCCAGCACTGTTACATTGCCAATCCCTTCTCTTCTCTTCTCTTCTTCCTTCTCCCTTCTCTCTTCTTCTTCTCTTCCTCTTATTTCTAGCCGGCCACACTGTCAAGATCTTGCAAGAGCATTAGCTGAAGTATTTGCTGATCAAGGTATCCACTTGAACAACCAATTCAAATCTGTACACTAACCACTAGGCTTCTCTCATCTCCTGATGGAGTGCCTAAGGGCCTTCATTTTCCATCCAACTTATCACCACCAATCTGCAGTCTCCTACTGCAATCAGATTTGACCAACCAAGTGAGCAAGCTATCTTCAGATCTTGAACAACTGCATGGATCTATGTTTTTAATGAATTACCAACCCCAATTAGTCCTGTGAAGCTCACGAGGATGCTCCCATTGTGATTCTCACTGCACCCCCCATTCCTGATGACCACAGATTGCCAAGACAGCATCCATCACAATTTAATGTTAATCTCCTTATCTCCAAAGCTATGGAACCAGTGGTGACAATTTTGTCTTAGGACAAAACCTGCTATGGCATGACCAAATAAGTTGGTCAACACCCAATGAGTTGCATCCCTTTCACACCTAAGGCTCCATAATATAGCTACTCTATTGCATGATCAAAGTATTTGTTTTAATGGGTGATAGATGAGTGTTGAACAGCTCCATAATGTTTGTAAGGCAGGGCAAACTCAACCCAAAGAGATGAAAGAAATGAATCCACACCTTAGAAGAGTAGGGACAGGATTGTAATAAATGGTTAACATCTACTTTCTTTTCGTAAGTGCTTATTTCAACAAAAAATAAATTTCTAGTTCACAATTTACATATGATACATATGAAATTGAGTTACACTTATTTAGTTATTTTATTTATATATTTATTTTATGAACCACAATGTGGAAATCATCTTGAAGCTCTTGTAGTTCCAAATTTCTTCCTTTTGTTATACATCCTACTTTTAAGTAGTTTGTCCCTTCTATTCTGTGGTGGCACTTCAAAATACTAATTTTGCAATGATAGGAAGGATTATGTAAGTATAGAGTATAGACATCTGCTTTGAGAAATTAAAGCTCTGATGCAAGAATTGGGATCAAAGGTTAATGGGTTTACAAATTTGAAAACAGCATAGCAGATGGATTCGCAAAACAGGGAGAAGAAAGAGAGCGGATATTTTGGGGTTTAGTACCCACTTCAAAATACTAATTTTGCAATGATAGGGAGCAAAAGTGGAAGTACAGAAGGATTATGTAAGTATAGAGTATAGACATCTGCTTTGAGAAATTAAAGCTCTGATGCAAGAATTGGGATCAAAGGTTGAACGGGTTTACAAATTTGAAAAGAGCATAGCAGAAGGATTCGCAAAACAGGGGGAAGAAAGAGAGCAGATATTTTGGGGTTTAGTACCCCAAAGGGGGGAAATGTATTTGATGAATCTCTCAGGCGCTGAGGCAAACTACCTTTATACTTGTGATTATACTTATTCTTTCACAATTAATAAAATCTTAACAGTTACTGTTCAAAAAAACATTAAAAAATGACAGAGCAATACTTTGCTTTCTTAGTGTTTTTCTTCTTTGTACTTTCAGTTCTCTTTCACCTTTTTTGTAACTTTGGTAAGATGTATAAGGGCACATCTACCCCCACCTGGGAGATCTTCCAAGAATCATGACAAAGCTTGTAGCATAATAAATTGGTCATGAAACAAGCATGAGTACAATTTTGAATATGTTAACAAGAATTACCTGGCAAATATCAATTTCTATGATATTAGTATGCAGGTTAGATGGGGTTCTTAAACCAATGGGATTTTTAATCAGTGATTCATAAAACAGTGAGTAGAGGGAATATGTCAATTGTTTAATTGTTTTCAAAAAAAAAAAAAGAAAAAAAAAGTGAGTAGAGGAGATAAAATGAGTTGCAACATCCTATACAAATATCCACCAGTCTTTAGATGTGATTCATGTGAATTGACATGGGGAGGGTAGCCATAATATTTGAGGAAATAGTGGACCTTCCACTTATGGCAAGCATCTTTCTCTTCCATTTTCTATTATGTAAATACAGCATTGATAACTATTATATTGTAGCTACTATATTAAGAAATTGTGCATTAAAGAAAATTGCTAAAAGGCCAGCAATAGAGAAGCCCGATACTTATGTGGGCAGATTTACAGAATGGGGGGGGGGGGGGGGAAATGACTGGGATTGCCTATGGAACTAACTCATAAAGTGAGAAAGTTCAGGCAAATGTTGTAAACAAAAGAGCTAAAGACACTTAGGAAAGATTAGACTCAAATCTAAAAAATGACACTGTAAGCATCGGTACACAAACCTATTATGAAACAAAAATATTTTAACAAAAAATACTATATGTTGCAAATCGTACCTGGCTTACATTGAATGAGTTGGGATCTACTGACAACAAAAGACGTTCCAATACCCTTCCAACATGATCTGACACCACACATCTCACCATAAGACTGGGACCCACCATGTATGAGCTGTGCAGTGTCAGATCATGTTGGGAGGGTGTTGGAACAAATTTCGTTGGCAGGTGATCCAGAGTCGCATTGAATGCAGTGTTGCATGGACATGGACACAAGAATCAGAATCTAAAGCATTTCTGGGTCAGGTTGAAGTTCAGGGTTGAAAAGTATGAACCTAACTTAACTTTGGGTTGGGTTAGGGTTGACCTCAACCCGACTCAACCCATCCCAACTTGCACTCCTAATTATCATATTCATGCAAACAGGCATATTGTATATGAACATGATAGATGATACACAGACATCATATTGTAATAATATTTTACAATAAACTACCCTACATCACCAACCTTTCTCTTCCCTTTACATAAATACCTATTCATAAACCAATATATGTATCATACATAATGTACAAGAACATATAATTACCAGTGTAATACATTGGTTTCAGGATAGGCCAGGTTGCCCAAGGCATCAACCCTAAACCAATCCAACTTTATATTAGGTTGATATTTTTCGATTCTAATCCTAAGCCAATTGTTAACCCAACCCAACTCAACCTTTTCAGATTGGCCCAACCCAAGTTGCAACCTTGATAACACAAGTCATATATACAGTGCATATGTTACATATGACCAAGTGGCATTAAAGACAAGGAAACAAAATTAATTCATATAATAACAAACGTTTATAGAAAGGAAAACATTATGCTAACACTGTATTCACATAAGCAAGCTATAAATGACCAACATAAGGTCTGGATGAGTTTTGTGTCTGAAAACTCATTGACAAAATGCACATGAAATTGCTTAGGCAAAAGCCTGGGAATTGGGACAAATGACCAACATAAAGGTCTGAGGCCTCATGACTTGCCAAATGTCCCAGATATACAAGATAATGGCCCACCATTGGATGGGTTCCACTATAGAACTCAACTGGGGCAACTACAACTTAAAATAGGATCCCAACTTCTTCATTCAACAACTATTTGGATGGCAGAGAAAGGGTTTCTTAAAACTCTTGCAGAGCTAGTCCCAACTTATTAATTATGAGGCTATGACCTGCGATGTGCAAAATAGCCCATCAGCATCAGTCAAAAAAGGGTCATTACCCAATGTTGGTCTTGGCTAATGGCTATCCAAGGTCTTGGGAGGGAAGGGCATACGGAACTAACCTTGAGCATTTTAGCATGAAGTGGCTGCTCTCAGACATAAACCCATGTTTTCATGACTCGTCAGCCTGAGTTTTTCACATTACACTGAACAATGATCCCCAAACCCATAATAGTGGATCATATCTGGAATATATGTTGTGTACAAAGCACCAGCACCCAGCACTGATGGGTCAACAAGAGATTTTCAAGGTCTAAGTTCACCACAATTGGAAGATCACATTCGCGTATTAACAATGTATAGCAGTAGGTCTTGATTCTTTATGCATGGGATACTGGGATGCACAGCCTTCAAGGTTTGTATTATGTTTTATTAATATCATATGATAAGGACCAACCACTGGATCCTCCAATGATGGGTACTGATCCTCTGCACATGAGATATTGGAGCATCAGAATTACATGCATTTAATAAACTAATTTGGAAGGTGATAAAAGTATTGCCAAAACAGAGCCCCATTATTGGCCCCTACCACTTCTGCCCTTAGTCTTATGCTTCACAATAAATTCCTCTCTCTCCTCTAATCAACACCTAGACACTAAATACTATGATTTTCGTCTTAACTTGTCCGTAATTTTTCACTTTGACATCAGCCGGCAAATATTTGGCTAGAGATATTTTAGGTTTTGACTGACTTCTAAAACCATAGGTATATTAAGGAGCTGACATGTTCAATGGCGGTCTAGCTGCTTCACTAAGAATGGGAAAGCCAAATAATTATATAAAATGATACACATACAATGCTAACTATTAGTACTGACACAGTAAAATACAAAAGAAGCTGACAAGTATGTTCCTGCATCCTTATCAACACACAAGCAAATAGTCAGTATGCCAATATGAAAATAAGTGTGAAACCTCGTACCTCTTCATCTATTTTCCTCCAAACTCTAGACATGTCTTCTACCGACTTGGAGCATATGGGACAACAATATCTGGGCGATGAGTTACAAGCAGAGGCAGCTTAGGGACTAATTAAATGAGTAATTATCTTCCCTTGAAACAATTAAAGAGAGAAAAGAACAAAATTTCAAGAAAATACAGAATCTTACTGATCATGCTTCATCATCTCATGTAGACAATCCATATGCATGGTGTGGCCACATTTCAAAACTGTTGTCTCCTTCAAAGAATCAAAAAGATACTGCCACAAAAAAAAATGATTATCGAAATATTCCAAAAAAAAGTTTCAAAAAAAATCAGACACTGCACAAACCTCGTAACAGATAGGACAGTGGTGGCGCATAGAATTCTCCACACACAAGTGATTGCCATGAAGACTGGTCCCATAGCAAGATCCTGGGCTCTTACAAAAATATTAACAGAAAGGAACAATAAATGCCTACCTGAAAAATGCTTTGATATTTCTAGATCACACAAAATGCAAGCATAGTGTTTGTCCATGTAGCAGAGTAAGTGTATTGAGAAAAGTAATGAAAAAAGTACACACAATATGCATTAACTGATAAATGTAAGACAGATTTTGTGCTTAAGCAGATGATATATAAGATAGATTAAGATAACTAGAGTTTTGATTAATCACAGATATCAACAATTAGGAAATAACTTAGGTTCTCAAATGGAAGAAGGAAAAATTTAATCTCTAGTGTTGAGTTTGAGGGTGGGATGAAACCTACAGAGGAAGAAATTATAAAGACATTTGTGGATCATTAAGTTAACTTTTGCCACTGTAGGTGAAAGGAACTTGGAACTAGAGGATCTGAATTGGATAAGAGTGCCTAAAGCGACAATAGTCCTCCTAGAAAAAAAACCCTTCAGTTTGGAAGAGGTTCATGACGTAATTTTCTCAATGGAGAGGTCTAAAGCCCTTGAACCAGATGGCTTCTCAATGGCATTTTATCAGGATTGCTGGGAAATAATAAAATTTGATTTGATGGAGGTCTTCATTGAGTTCCACACCAAAGGGAAGATATCACTAGGAGCAAATGCAACCTTCATTGCCCTAGTGCCCAAGAAAAAAGATGTCAAATCTCCAAAAGATTATAAGCCAAAAAGCCTGGTGGGTAGCTTGTACAAAATCATTGCTAAAGTCCTAGGAAAAAGATTTAAGAGTGTATTGCCCCTAGTAATCTCCCAAAATCAGGGAGCTTTTGTGGAAGGAAGACAAATAATTGACCAGATTCTTGTGGCAAAAAAAGAAAAAACAAAGAGGCAAAGGCTTATTTTGTAAATTAGATCTAGAAAAAACCTATGATATGGTGGACTGGTCCTTCCTTCTAGGCTTATTGGAAAAAGTTGGGTTGGGTGGTAGATGGAGAAAGTGGATCAAAGGTTGTATAAGTTCAACTCACTTCTCAATATTGATCAATGTTGTGGCTAAAAATTTTTTCCCAGCAAAAAGATGACTAAGGCAAGGAGATCCCATCTCCCCCTTCCTTTTCACCATTGTTGTGAAGCTAAGTAGGCCAATTATAAAGGCTGACCTAGAAAACCAAATTAGAGGCTAGAGGGTTGGAAGAAATCAGGTTGTGGTGACCCATTTGCAATTTGCGGATGACATAATCATATTTTGTGAGGACTACTTGGAGCTTTGTTCGTGCAAACAGGTGGAAAGAGAAGCTTAGAGTGGAGGCAAAGACATTCATACTAGAGGAAATCCCCACCAGAAGAGGAGTTGTATTGAAGTTCAATGAGCTCTCGAAGGCGATGATCTTGCTGAGGGGCAAAGCTATCTTGTGGTTCAAAGGTTTTATGGAAGGCGATATCCTTTCACAGAGGAAGGTGAACTGGCAAGTCTCACACAAAGGTGATACCATACCATTTACTGGGTGGAAGTATTGGAAAACAAAAATGGACATTGAAGACTTAAGTTTTTAAAAAAGGAAACGCAACCGTTCTGCAAGGGGAAAGGGATCCAACAGGTTCCCATTTCTTTTTTGATGAATAATAATAAGTTTATTGATTCAGAAGCAACTTTAGAGTGAGTTCATACATCATCCCAACGAGAGGCACGAGCTGCAGCCCCTCCTTGAGTCTTACAAGTAAACTAGGAAAGAAAAACAATAATCACAACTGAGCCCA